GTTGAGTTGTCGACTGCTCGGCCGACCGTAGAGGAACATGCCGATCAATCGTCCTTTGCCCGGCTGACTCTTCTCTCGCCTTCTCGATCGAACCTCCCTGTTCAGTTCGTCTGAAAGGTAACGCTTTGGAGGACAATCTTTCCACCTTGAGAGCTATGTTATGGGCTTTGTCCACAGAATACACGTTGTGGATGACTACATTCTCTTGAATTGAATACTCAAACCTCAAATCATCATGAGGAAGGGTTTGATTGGGAAGTCGTCAATGATGTGGAGGGGGTTGATATGGAGAAGGTTGATATGGAGGGGGTTGATATGGAGGTGGTTGGTTTGGACGTGATTGATTTGGAGGGGGATGAACTGGAGGGGTTCGAGAATTGTACGGGGGTAGATGTCGGGGTTGCCTAACTCCGGGTCCGCCTAGGTGATGATCGTCGGCGAAGTTATTCCCATTGTTATGATGAAGGGTAAGTCCTTCAATGGTTTGTTGAAGGTTCTGAAGAGACGCCTCCAACGTATCAAATCTTCCATCCATAGAATCCATCCTCGTGAAAAGATCCTGTAGAGAAAGCTCCAGGATGTTGAAGCCGAAACTCTGATACCACTTGACGCAGACGTAGAAACGGGGAGGCCGATCGGATATCATTCCGATGCCGACGAGCCTTGACAATAGCAGGCAATTCACGAGCTTTAATCCACAAGCTCTAAGTTTCTCAAATTTGAGAACAAAAACAAGGAGAAAAATTCTCTTGATTGAATAATTGAAAGTTACTTGTTTGATTTACAAAAGAAACTATTATATAAAGCCAAATAAATCTATCCTAACTCTAATAAAAAAGAAACTCTAATTCTAAAAGGAAATAACCAAAAACGAATTCCTTTCCTAATCTGTTTTTCGAGTCGACACGAGACGTGCCGAGTAGTACCGCTTTTCGTGTCGACTGGACATGAGTCGACTATGTGTGTCGAGTGTATCTGCCTTTCGTATCGACTGGCATGTGTCGACTCGTCCTGTCACCTCGAGTCGTCTGTTCGTCTCGGCTGGGTTGCTTCGCCTCGAGTCGTCATCTCAACTCGCCTGGTTTGTTGTCGTCTCGTCTAGTTTGAGTCTCGTCTCGTCTCGTCTCGTTCATCTGTTTAGTCGTCTCGTCTCGCTTTTCAGTTGTCTCGTCTTGTAGATCTCCTGTATCACCCTAGGTTTGGAATGTTTCATTTGTAATTCAGCGATTTTCGAAAAGTAAGAATATCAAGAAGGGGTTTGGTTGGGTGTGTGAGAGTGCATATTTATGAAATTCGAAGTGGGTTGAGTTGAAATACACCCTTGAAATGAACCCTATCAATTTCAAAGCGGAATTATTATGGAAATTTATCTGACATAATGCTGGAAGAAATAACAAGTGTTTAATTATCATATTTATGGATGGTTACACATGATATCAAGTCATTATGATGCACTAAGAACATAGACCATGGAGAAAATCCTCTTAGTTTGAGAAACTAGTAAATTTTGACTCTAGCAGCTACCTCCTATTTTCTTTCGTTATATGCCTTTTCTTTTTGCTTTGTGGCTAGTTTGGATTTCTTTGTGTTAGCCTTGTCTACTAATGGCCATAAAGTTGTGTAATGTTGGTGTGAAGCTTACTTGTCAGCTACTAAGCAATTCTTGTTTAGTTGATGAGGGAAAACACTTACTTTAGGCAATAGTCCATCCCATGTATCTGCTCCTGGAAAATGGCAGTATATTTTCAGTAATTTGGGTAACTGGATGCACTGCTTTGAATGAACGAAACAAATATCAAAATCTTAGTACATCCTGAAGCAGACCATACTTGTCATGTATCTAGTGAGCTTTGATGTTTTGGTGATAGATATTTACTTTTTTTACTCTTAAGAAAATAAAGGAGTAATGAAATTTATGGAAAGTTCTTATTATGCTGTAATGCATTTTGATTGATGAAACCTGAAATTGGAAGAAGTTTCAAATTAATAGTTAGCTGAAGCTTGCACCATTCTTTGCTTCGATAACTTTTGGACATTTATGCCTGTCTCCAACTAGTCAAGTCTCTCAATTTTTATGCAGTAATGCATTTTGATTAATTATGTTTGTTTTGCTAGACAAGTGAACAACTATTAGTCATTGTGGGTGCTGGTGCTGCGGGAGTATATGCTTCAATAAGAGCAAAAGAAATAGCTCCTCATCTAAATGTTCTGATCATTGAGAAGGGAAAGCCGTTATCAAAGGTCAGATTCTTTTATTAATTCTTTTATGTGCTCATAAAATGTTCCAGTAATATATAGTTTGCTTACTAAGCTTTCTTCACCAAAAAATGAAAAGAAAAAAGCTCAATGTCTTATAATGGTAGTTTTCGGCATTTAAGCTTTTTGCCCACATGTTTAAGATTAGTGTCCATTTCTAACTTATCTCTTGGTGTTCCAGGACGTAAAACAACTCTATAGAATTAATTTGTATTTTCAGATTCTGGCGTTTATCAGAACATTGCCTGGTTGGATGATTCATTGTTTCATGAAGCAGACTTATTCATAAATTAGTTTTATTTTGATGTCTTTCATTCAATCAAAATAGTTGGTATATATTGAAAATTTGGAAGAAAATGTTTCAGAAATTCAATTAACTGTTCAATATTGATAGCATAACTTATAATACAAGAGACAACTTGCATATTGAAATATTGATTTCTGATCCATGGCCGATTATCGAAAGAGCTCTATTGTGTGATACCCTGACCATGTTTTGCAGTGTTGAATCTGATCTTGCCCCGAATGCTTAAGCATGTTGGACTCAACCACAGATATTAATGTCATCTTTCTGCAAATTTTTTGAAGTACGATGTTTGCTCATGCAATAACCACTGATGGCCTTTCTTCTTTAATTCTTTGAGCTCAAATATGTGATTGTGTGAGTATTCACAATCCTCAGCATGCTTATCATTTTCGAGGTAGGTATTAGATTTTGTTACGTTTCTACACTGGAGTCTTTGCATACTGAAAAGCAGCCTTTTCTATGCTGCACAACCTCTTTGTAATTGAATATAAAAGGTGTCATGTTAACTAGGCCCCACAAGCGCACTTTTTCATTAGGGATCTGACAATGGATGGAAGGTGAACAGTCTAGTGAGTTAGAGAATAAATTTAAAGAGGCTACTGAGTAATAGGTCAGCTCCAAGTTGTTTATTATATCTATGGCTTGTTTCTGGCATGAATTTATGTAAGATCTATCAGTAAGAGCCAAGTCCTGCAAATCTTTGGGTTCAGTTGCAGGGTTTCTTCCATGTTCACTCCATATCTTTCCTCTTTACTGGTTTAATACAGGTTAATGTCTGTCCATGTCTCCATCCTTGTTTCTAGCAAATACCTTCCATTTATCCTTGATCATACACTTTCAAACATTTTAGAGGATTCTCTGTCATCTTTTCTTAACTGAAGATACCTATTGATTTGAGTTTTTTTAACCTTTAGATATGAGTTAATGCACTCCTTTGTCATCACTATTTGTCCTCATCCATCTGAATATTATCTTAGCTACACATTCAATTGGATATGTGTTCAAATGGACATGCGTTCTATGGTTCCCCAATCTTTTGGAGCATTAAGCAAGTGGATGTTTAAGATGTGATGCTGGAATAAGTTGTATCAGAAGTAGACAGATAAAACAAAGAAGAGAACAATAAAGAGAGACGAAAGAAGATATAAATAAGAAAAGAAGAAAGAAGAAAGAAGAAAGAAGAAAGAAGAAAGAAGAAAGAAGAAAGAACAGAAGGAATATATGCTGACACTGGATGTTTCTGGAGATCTAATAGAATTTCAGGACATTCTTATAGCACTGACACACATTTTTTAGTACTTTGTGCAGCTTATAGTGAAGCATTGGGGATTAACTTCATTGCTAACTTTTCATTTCTACAATCTTGTGTTTGATCCATCATATCTTGAGATAAATTTGTAAGATATAAGGCATTTGTATATGAACATTAAGTACTTTTTATGCGCCTCCACTATCACTGTTAACATGGAAAACATGAATCTAAGTCTATGGTTTATTAATTTCCTTCTCCTCTGTGTGCTCCTCTTCTCTTAAGGTACATCTCTGTAGTTTGCATCTTTCCTCTTTATCACATTTCCAAAGTTCCGGGTTTTAGGTTTACTGCAACAAATATTGACACACATTAGGATTGTTACTCGGGTGTGCTATGCTTCCATTAGTACAACTAAATGTTTTTTTATCAGTATATGGCTTGACTTTGGTTGATGGGCTAAAAATCATGATACACTTTATGCTGTAATTGCAAATATCTAACATGATGAAGTTGAGCTGCATGTGTGCTGATGTGAGTCATCTGACTAACATGAAGAATTTGCTGAATAGGATAAGTTTATTGCTAATAGACTAATAGTAAGAAAATTAGTTGCCTTTCTTTTGCACATGTGACTGTTCTCTCAAAAATACTGAGAGAATCACATTTTTTATTCTGAAAGTTGTAAAGAAATTTGTGTTTAGTGAGTTAATTGATTAGAAAAGTTACTCTAAATGTTAAATATAGTTAATTATGCCTGATATTTTTTCCTTCCCCACCTCTGATGTCTTTATGACATCATTTATATTATTCTACGCAAGAAAGTTCTCTTAGTCAGATTAGTTGGCAATATA